TATCTCATTTAGATTCAATAACTTACTACTACTAACTCAAAAATTGAAAAAAATTCTACTCTAAATAAGTTATTTAGCCCAAATTTTCCATATAAATAATTAAAATGATTCATTTCTAATGTTTTTAAAGTATAATTGTCGAATTAGGTTAAATATAATAATAGGTTTCAACTAAAAAATTAAATAATTTTACTCATTGTAATTTATTAATTTTTTAACTTCATTGGTGTGTGTTACTACCAGTCTATAATATGTAATAACCAAAAGAATGATTAAACATAATAGTAGTATAACTTTTAAATATGAGGAGAATATTGATGGTTAACGGTCATTACTTAATAAATGTGGTTAGTGTATTAAAACTTTTCCTACCTGAAATTCACTGATGATGATAGATTCTTAATTATATACTTGTGGTTGTTAACAGTGTTTTTAAAATTATAGTTGGTATATTAATGCAAGAGAATCGTATTTGATTAATAGAAGAGTATTTATTATTATTGAAATTGTTAATTATTTTAACAAATGTATGGTTTAACTTAATGTCAAAAGTTAAGATTAAAGACACACAATGTAGTAAAGAATACACTCACGTATGTGGGGAAATCTTAATGAGTTTAACTTGTTAATTAAACAGGCTATTCAGCCCTTATATAATGTATCACAAATGTCATAAACGGGAAATGTGCGTCTTGAATGTGTCGTGCTTTTTTATAGACTTATTCAGTTATCATTCTGTATTTCAATAAAAGAGTTATTATAATGAATTTTCCTTTTTTAATACTTTAGTGGTGCCTCGAAGACGGTAAAAAAGACAACGACCCACGTCCACCCTATAGTGGCCAAGGTCAGAATTATTATAATATTACAAATATTCCAAATTTGTTGGTAAAATGTTGCTATATAAATAAATCATAAATCTAAAAAATGTTATTTTTAATTACATCTAAATTTAACAAAAAATGTATACAATTATAATCAAATTTTATAATATACTCAATGGAGTAGATTTTTTTAACAATATTTTATTAGCTAAAATAAATCATTAAAATTAAATAAGTTTTGAATATTTTAATTGAAGAATCTTTTTAAACACCAAAAGTTACTTAGATATAATTACCTCGATTTCTATTTAAATGATCTATTACAACAAAAATACAAAAAAAAAAAAAACGGTAGCACAGTGGGG